TGTTCCGGTAAAACAGAAATCCATACAGAAAGTTGGTCTTGAAGATCTTTCCTTCTCTGGGTTCTCGCGAAGGTGTGGAGACTCTTTTCCTTTGCATGCTACACATGTCGGACACCACGATGCATAAGGTAAGTGTGTGAGATTATGAACTGCGACTCCGGCTTTGGCTGTTTGGGTACCTTCAGAGGTTCAGCTTCTAGAAACTCTTTGTACTTCTTCTGGCCTGAAACAAGTTCCATGTGCCTTTCTGCTTCCATGATGATCTACTGAGCCTTCTAAGAATCTCTTGCTTAGAGCCAGCTTTTGAGACTCCTAGTTCCTTGCACAACTCTCTCAGGGCCTTGAGGCTGTTCTGCTGATTGTACTCATGACCGTTGAATGTAAAAGACAATTCTCCTGCAAGTTCATGCCTGTGCGCTGGTGCTTGGGCCTCTGAGGTCTCTTCCTGTTCTTCTTCCTGTTCTGGAATCGTGTCCAGTTGGTGAACCTTCTGCTTTGGTCTTCTGGCCTTGGGGTTCACTGGTTCAATGAGTTCGAATACACTACGTCCTGTCCAGGATAAACCTCCTAGTGGTTCTGGGTCTCTGTGAGGCTCATCCAAAGTCCAGAACTTGTCATCCTCAAAGAAATCCTTATTGACCGGTTCTTCTCCATACGTGTACCTGTCTGGTTTGAGGTTTCCAATGTCTACTGGGATGTCATTGGTATCTCGAGGATTGAACAAAGTCTTCCTCAACGAGTTGTGGTACCTCGTGAGTGTAGTGCCATCCATGCTGATTGACCATGCATCCTCAGTGTACTCTTCAAACATCTTTCGATCCTCATCTTCCTTGGGGGTGCCTATGAGGTTCAGCGGAAATTCCTTGAGGATACTAGCGTAAGTGTGCGGTACTCTTTGCTGCCATCGAAGATTGTTCCAAACGGTTCCTCAAGTTCCTCAAACATGATGCTGTGATGCAACAGATACCACTGATCATCATCCTCAATAAGCACTGCTCGATATGCGAACTTTCCTGGTGGAAACATCAAGTAAGTATCAACGTGTTCTGAGGTTCCTAGGCTGAAGTGGACTTGGTAAGGGTCTCGCCAGTTGGTCCAACCTACACGCTGTTCTTCAATGAGTTCCTTCAAGTTCTCGCACAAGTACATAGGGATAGGTTTTGCTTCTGCTTCCCAGTTGACTGCTCTCACAAAGGCTTTTGTTGTAAGTGAGTTGTTGTTGTAGTTCACTGCGATCTTGGTTGTTCCTTCTGTTAGGAAAGTGCCTGTTGCTGTTCCATCTCTGAACTCCCAGCCTTTCTTCAACAGTTTACCTACTGCTAAAAGAGGGTGCACAACCGATGAAATCAAGAACACTTCTTCAACCTTCACAATGTTTCCTTGAACATCCCGAAACTCAACCTCAATGATCCTTTGGTCTGAAACCTTGATCCGAGATCCTTGTGCATCTCGCAAAACTACCTTGGTAGTGTTGGGTGCCTTTCTTCCATACTTCTTCATCCACATCGGTGCCAACGAAATGTCGGCTCCTGAATCCAGCACGACCTCGATTTCTCGAGTTCTCGCGTTCCTTGCTGCACGCGCAAACCTGGTGATGGTCCTTGAGGGTGCTGTTCTCTCCACTCTGTTCCTTCTAGGAGGATGGTGACATCCGTTCTCACATTCCTGCATGTTTGGGTGCCACGGTGTTTCATGACATCCATTGGGACACTCAAAGTAGTATCCACGATCCTGAGTTCCTATCGGAGTTCCTGCTAGATGCCATTCCAGCCATGCATCATCACTCACCTCATCACAGTCCTGAAACTCATCATCTTCATCACCAATCCAAAACTCTTCTGTCTCACTCCTCTCTTCCTGAACTTCTTCACCAACAACCCGCAAAACTCTTCCGAAGTACTCAATCTCTATCTCTTCAGAGTTCTCACTCAGTGCGAATTCCTCCGGAAAGCTTGTGGGCTCGTCTCCCATGTGGTACATGGAGACCATCCTAATCACTGGTCTTTGGGTTCCTTGGCTTGCTTGGCTTGTTGAGGTCTTGTTGGCTGACGAAGGGGCCTGAGTAGAAGTACCTGTAGTGCTCGCTTGCTCGCTCTGGTTTTCAAGGTCAACGTTCCTGGCCTGGTAACCCATGTCACGCATTTTCTGTCTACACTGTGCTTCGAAATGTCCATACTTGTGACAGTAGTGACAAACTCCTGTAGCTGCTTGGGCTTTGCCTTTACCTTTTCCTTTGTGTCTGAAGAAACCTCTTCCTCGACCTTTGCCTTTTCCTTTGTAACCTCTGAAACCTCTACCTCGGCCTTTCCAGTTGCCTCGACCTCTGCCTTTGCCAAAACCTCCGAAACCTTTACCTTTACCTTTGCCTTTGCTGTCAAAGCCGAAACCTTTTCCGAAGTCCTTTCCACCTTTCTTGCCTTTTCCTTTACCTTTGCCTTTATGGTGAACATAACCTTTGCCATAGCCTTTCTTTCCTTTGTACCATGCTTGGTTGATATCCATTGCTGCAAGACCACCATGGTCATCACCTTTGTCGATCAAGTCTGTTGTGGTTCGGTGAGGTGTTCCTTGCTGGGCTGCTAAAGAGTTAGTCCAACGCTCGGTTGACTCATAGTTCACAAGGTACTGACGAAGAGTATTGTACTGTGTCTTCTCATCCATGTTGAGCAACAAGTGCCTTTTCACGTCAGGTTTCATACCTTGAATAAGAGTAGATACTTTCAAATTCTCCTGTACCTTTTCTCCAGTAGCCTTCTCGTACTTCTCGATGTGTTCCTCATATTCGAGGATATTCTCAGCAATTCCTTTGTTGTGAGCGAATTTGTAGTTGAGAATGTTGTGAAACAACTCCAACGATCTCGCACGATTCGTTGGTTGATATTCCTTGAGTAGCATACGGTAAGCTTCCATACCGTTCTCCTCAGCTACATGCTTTACAACTCGGTACGGCCTTCCTTTAGTGTACGAACAAAGAACACTGTACAGGCGTCTGCTTGTTTCCTTTGCTTCTGTAGACATCTCAGCCATCTTCACTTGCTTATCATCTTTTAGGTTCCTTTCTGCGATGTCCATGATCTTCACCATGTTGGAATCCACTGCTCCAAGCCAGATCCGCATCCTGTTCCTGAACTCTGTCCATCCACTCTTCTCTTCTTGCCATGTTCCTGGGGAAAATGCTTCGGGGCTTTTAATCAGCTTGTGCAACTCCACTTCTCCAGGCTTTCTTTGTTCCTTTACTGCTTTCTCCAGGGATGCTCCTATCTCCTCAAGTGTCGTTGCTGCGTTTGTGTGAGCGTCTGCCAACGCTGTTTGCGCTGTCTTCTGCTGTTCCTGAACTGCTGTCAGGGTTTCCTGGAATGCTTGTGTAAGTCCTGCTTCTCTCTGACTTCCTGAAGCTGCTGAGTTCCTGATCTCCTCTGCTAGTGTTTGTATTCCTTGCAAAGTCTGTGCATTGATCTCGGCAAGTGCCTTCAATGCATCCTCCATTCCTTTTGCTGTTTCAAGGTTGCTGTACACTAGTGCTGCTAAAAGTAGCGACTTGCACTGTTTCCTGCACACTGCTTGTGCTCTCCTTTCTCCTCTTGTCTTCCTTTGGTGCTTTGAGCGGTTGCTTGCTCTTGCGAAAAACACACTAGAATAGTACGACAGGGTGATCCAAGTAATCAGTCCCATTGGGGTTCCTAAGAACACTGCTATGCGAATTCCTTGAAATACAACTCTGTTGGAAATGACTTCCTGAACTATCACATGCACGACGTCGTGAAACTTCTTTCCTACGGTTGCTAGCTTTTCTACGAAACTGTGAACATGTTCCTGTACAACTTTCCTCAGTACTTCTCGCTGTTGTTTTACTAGGTACCTAGGGGCGTAGCCTGACTCAAGGCTCTCACTCTCCTGGTTCTCGGTGTTCTGGTTGCCGTTCCTGTTCTCTTCCGTGTAGTACTCGCCGGTCACGCTAACGACGCTGTAGAGCTCGTTCATCACTTGGTTCGCGCACAACAAAGCGTACGGTACCATGACTTTTCCTATCTCCACATAGTCCTTAATCGTGTACGCGTTCGTGTTCCTGATCGTGTTCACGTTGGTGCCGTCGGGGTTCACGCTGCACTCGTTGTAGCCTTGCTGGTAGTACTCGCCGTACACGTCGTAGTTCCTGTAGCGGTTCCGGTGCGTATTGGGCTTCCTTCTGCTCGACCACACTACCATGAGCTCGCTCTCGTCGCTCTCCACGTAAGTGAGTTCCTTTCTCCCACGGCTCACATCCTTGGAGGGTAAGGCGTCTCCAAGGGCAAGTTCTTCCTTGGTCTCCACGTTGTTGCCAAGGGCCTGCCACGGTCTCACCGCTATACTTCCTGCTCCTGGGACCAAGATCATCCCGCACAAAGTTGCGAGGCTTCCCAGTGCGAAACCAACCAGCAGCACCATACATGCTGCCAAACCGTAGCACTTCATGTTCCTTTTCTCTCTCTCTTCCACCAACACTCGGTCGGGGTAGCAATCGCTGCAAGCGTCAAAGTCTCGCGCGTTTCCTGCTGTCACGTTGTGGTTGCGAAGGTGTCCACAACCTCTGCGGTGGTACTTTGTTCCTGAACGGACTGCGATCCTGAGCGTGGGCATGTTGAGCACTGTCTCTGTCTTCTTGGTGATCTGCTCATTCGCGCGCATCTGCTTCCATCCGGCAACGAGGCAAACTGCCATGGCGCCGAGCATCATGGTTCCTATGGCTACGAGTAGCATCATCGCTGCCAAGGAGGTTCCTGGAGGCAGCTCCGCTACCATGTTAAAGAACGGGCTTCACTAAGGGTTCCTACCCACAAAGACTGTCGGACACTTTTGTTCCTGGGCACGGTGTGTCCTGGGGTCTCGAGCCTGCACGTCGCGTGTGCGTGACGGCTGTTCCTGTACATTAACTGTACTGCACTAGCTGTGTTACTGTTCCTGGCAGAATGTTTAACAAACTGGCATGCCGTAGATTTGCGCCATCGTTGACCCGTAGGATCTTCCTCCTCCTGGTGCGTAGCTGGCATCCGAATACACAACCAAGGCTGGATCATCTGGCACCACCTTGTACCAGATCCCGTACTCAACCGTCTTGGAGAGGTATTTCATGACTCGCTTGCTTATCTCCAAAGCTCTCAACGGTCGTCGTAGTGCTAGCGAAGCCATACACCCAACGGCATGTGCAAGCTCCGGTCTGCTCCTCGTCGAAAGCCACAAAGCCTCACCCGTAGCCTTTTGGGCCATTCTCACAGTGGCCTCCTCAGCGGTTTCCGGTTCCTCATCGGAGTCAGCATCTTGAAGCCACTCCCGAGCACACGGGACCGTAAGTGTCGCGCCCACCTCCTCCGGCATTCCATGTTGTCGTAGTAGATCACGAACATAACCCGTTTGAGATAGATGAACGCCTCCACCAAAAACTCGTAGTTCTATCCCCAAAAACCTCAACGAGTCCTCCTCTGCCCACTCAAGGTTGGAGCATTTCCAGTCAGACACCAACCACTGGTAAATGGTCTTGACAATCTCCTTCTCAGACAGCATCAAGATATCATCCACATAGACCAAGACCAGTCCTAGGATGGTGTCTTCTCCTTGGTAAGTCACTCGCCAGAGGTTCTCATCCGTGGTCGTAGCGGTCAGCACAAGCACCTTGTCGCCGTACACAATCTTCGCTTCCTGGAATCGTAGGTTCCTGAAGTCACCCCAAAGCCTAGGTGCCTCTCTCAAACCGTAGAGCACCCGCGTGATCTGCCACGTTTCCCCTGGCTCTGCTGCACCAGCCATGATCACGATGGTTGGTGGAGTTAGCGCGTAGGTGAGCTCCGACGGCATAGGTGCCAGTGTAAAAGCATTGGCAACATCGGTACTTCCGATACTCCATCCTCTTTGCACTGCCAGAGCCACAGCGATCCTCAACGTGTCGGCCGAGGTGCCGGACGCATACACATTCTGACCCTGGGCTGGTAGAAAGTTTCCGCAAACCACAATCCGGCATTTTCTGCGGAATCTCTCTTTGCTCGAAGCCTCACTCGGAGGTTTGGCAGTGAATACTGCCTTCCCAGGTAGCACCGTGAGGCCCGCCTTCTTCAGCTCCCTGGTTTGCTCTGGGGACAGCCGCTTCACTGTTCCAGAGCTCATGAGCGCATTCACTTCTTTTACAATTGCCTCTTTCCACAACTGAACATACTTCTTGACCTCCGGCAAACTCACAGTGTGAACGACCTCCAAGGGACCCTCGAGCGTCTTCAAAAGTTCCTCGACTTCCTCTTCCTTAGACGTCCCGGGAGATACCTTCAACACCCTCTTGATCGCCTTAAGCTGTAAACGCTCCAACTCCCTGGCACAGTCCTCGAAGGCATTGTGGAGCATCAGCAGATACGGGGTCGCGTCATTGATGTTGGCCTCCTGAAATTCCTCCTCCTGAAGTTCACACCGAAGAACTCTTGTTTTATTCTCCAAGTCCTCCTCCTCTCCTGTAGAGGCATCATCAGAAAGCTCACTGTCACTGCTTCCCCATTCTACATCATCCACATCATGTACTTCTGCACCAGTACCTTCCAAAGGAAAACCACACTTGTTCATGAACGCCACAGGCTCTGGAGGTATACTCTCAACATTGAGGGGGGTGAAGCCTGCTAGGATCCATCTGTTGCCGTCCTCTCCCTCGACATACGAGTGCAACTTCTTAGGGTCAAACACAGCAACCTTGCCCTTGATGTCCACAACCCTACCCTCAGCCACCGCGCCATCAGGTAGTTCACGCTGTAGGTCCTTTCCTTCTGTGCCATCCTCCTTGGACAACTCATGCGCATCCGACAGCCAAAGCCCCCTAAACTCTTCACCACCAACTTCCGTAACAAAGTTTGGCATGCCCGGCTTGTTGCGAAGATCACGATGTGGGGGTATCTCTGTAGCCTTAAACACTCCAAGCGTTGCCCAACATGGTTCCCGATTCGTGCTCTCCATCGTGCGTTGTCTCAGCACCATGTTCAAGTACTTCGTAAGCCAAGGCCTTCTCCGAGTTGCCGTAGTAGTCCCACGCATTCCCCCATGAACATATCCTCCAAGAATCAGTGCTGAAGAATGGGTTCCCCGCGTAGATCTCTTTGCTTTGCTACCAACATGAACATCTCTTAGAACTTCAGCACAAGTTTCATCATCAAACTTGCCCATGTTATAGTAGTAGCGGGCCCTGTCTTCTTGTTGATTCACCAACGATCTCATCGTCCAACCTGAGGGTACACGCTGGTCACCACCACCGCCTTCCATAGTTGTTTTCAACGCACGAAGAGCAGGAGGAGGTTGTTTTCCGCTCAAGCGATGATCTGGTTCAGGTAGCTCAACGACTGGGACTTCTCCTGTAGGGACATCTCCAACACCGCCTCCATCATCATCCTCCGTAGCTTCCGCTAGTAGTACATGAGGATCCACAACACCGTCCTTAAGGTTCAACGTCTCCGTCAACACTCCAGTGGGCCGTAAAACCACAGCACCGCCCTTGATGGTGTCCGACAATCCCAGGTAGGTGCCCTGCTCCCAGCGGTCGGTGAGGTCATACTTTTTGTTATTCCCAAACACCTTTCTTCGTATCATCACTTTGGAACCAAAAGCCAACAACCTCGGCTTGTTGAGACCTAGCCGCTCATGTAGACGTCGGTTGGCCGCATGCTGCATTGCCAAAGTCCAGTACTTAAGACCCACTTTTGCCTCCGCTAACAACACCTTGGCCATCGTCTTGAACCATCGAACTCCACGCTCAGCTGCACCATTTGTTTGTGGAACCAAAGCCTCCGAACGGGTGTGGTAGATATCGTGGTCCAACAGCCATTTACGTAGCCCCTTCGACGCAAACTCAGAGCCCCGATCTGAATGAAGTCGCGCAACGGGAAGGCCAAGTAACTTCAATCTCAAGACTGCCTCCTGTACCGCCAGCATTATGTCACCGCCTCGCCGAGCTCTGACCGGGTAAACTAAGTAGATCGTGTCCATCTCAACCGGCTTTGTCAAGTCGCCTATGAGTTGTTCCCACGTCTCCTCGTCCTTCTGTAGCTCTGACTCCTCCTCGGGGATCTCGGCCGTAGAAATGTGAAAAGTAGTTCTTCCGGTCCAAGGGCGCTCCAAAGATCTCGAACCCGATTGGGGACCATGCCAATCCGATGTCTCCGTTTCCACACCACCACCAACATACTTCACCTCGGTGACTCTCGTGTAATCAAGCTTGGAAGGCGACACCGGGCACCCATTCCACGACGTAGGCCGAAACAACCTTGTACGCGGTGTTCTATGATGCCTGATCAACACCCCAGTAGACTCCCTGAACTCCCACCAATCGTCAGAAACATCCTTCTTGTCCAGGGCTTTCGCTCCAAGCACCTTAACCGCCGCATCTAGTTTGGCTGCTGGTAGATCACCGGGTCGCTCTCGTTGGACTCGTTGTAGTTCTTCAAGTTCCGCTGGCGATAATTCCACATCCGGTCCGTCGTCCGGCGAATACTCTTCCAGCTCACCGTAGTCAGCCGCTCCGGCTTCCGACTTGTCTGTCTCCGCATCCAAACTCCACCCATCAAGTTCTTCTTCTCGAACAGGTTGGTCCTCTGGGATCAGCTTCTGCTTCGGGAACTGGTAGGTGAAGACAACCGCGTACCTCTCACCCTTCGTGCCCGCAATGCGCACTGGCCCCAAAGTATCAGCGCTCAAAACATAGCAGTCCCGATGCAGGCACTTCCTGTGAGGACGCCCCGTAGCGGTGTGGATGCATTGTAGGCAATCTGCACGATAAGGTACGTGGTCATTGGCCAAATGCCTTTCCCACGCTCGTCTGTCCACCGCCTTCAGCGCCTTCACCAAACGAGAATACCATCCCGGGCGCTGCTTCCATCTCTTCAAACCTCTGACCAGCACTCTCGCCATCATTGGTGCCCACATAGACCATGACCCCTTCTCGCTCTCAGGTTCCGGCCGAGAATCTTGAATCCCCTTCAACTCCGCGACATCCAGGTTGGTAGTCATAGTCGTAGGCCGCCTCATAGAGTGACCCAAACCTCCTTGTTCGAAATGGCATAGGTCCAAACCATTTTCAGCAATCCACCTCCGAAACCACTTGAACACCCACACCAGCGAGGACTCATCTTGCTCAGCCTCTGCAGAGGCCCACAAAGAGAACGCCACACCATCAAAGGGAATGTCCATCTCGCCACACATAGCCGTTCTTCCGGCCATGGCCACTTCATTCAACACCACCGCCCTCAGGGAGTGCTCTAGCGCGTTGTGTTTAGGAAGCCCGCATAGGATTCCTGCCACCCTTCCCGTAGCTGCTCCCCACAACAACATCCGCATCACGCCCTGGCCGGCCTTGAACAAATCCAGCGGAGACAACCTTTGCACATCGACGTCCAACACCACGGTGCCATTGCTCTCCACCCCCTTGAACACTTTATCAACCGCCGACCGCTTGCCACTGCACAACTTCACGATCCAGTCCTTGCTCATGAGGCGCTTCCGCATCCTCCGATTGAACCCGAGCTGTTGCATAAGCGCCCAGGCCTCGGTCTCATCCTTGGGGAGATCCGTCACAATCTTTGCCAAATCTTCATGAAGTTCTCCCGTGGCCCAAGGTGCTGCTGCCAGCGCACTGAAACCATCCTCAAACTTCCCATTCTTGACGTACTCCTTCATACTTCTTTCCCAGCAAGGATCTAACTGAACCGCACGAGCCCTCGCCACCGCCTTCTTGGTCTCCTCAGTCCTATTGCTGAGCTGCGCGATCTTCTCTTGCTCGATCTCGGCAATCAACTCCAAGGCGGTGGCCTCGCTCATCTCTGGACATCCTGAGTTCACACGCAAACCAAACTCCCTGCCGTCCGGCGCCTTGAGTACGCACCTCTTCCTTGTCCAAGCCAACTCATAGCCCAGCACGCTGACCAAGCTTCCAACCGGCAGGATGGTTTGAGCCTTTGAGGTGTTCGGCTCCAGTAGCAGAGTTCCCGCCGTGGTCTGTCGCATTCGCTGAACACCATCTCCAGCTACTACAACATCCACTTCATCAGCTCCAGCCCATTCCGAGGAGGACCCCAAACGCAAAGGGTGCGTAGCACCCGAATCCACCAAGGCCATCTTCGACTCGTAATGCCGAATCGCTTTCTTCAGCATCTTCATGGAAGGTCCGCCCCGTCCTGGGTTATGTTGTTCGGCCATCATCTTCAACATCTGCGTGGCATTCTTTAAGAAATCATCAACCTCTCTCACCGAAGACGCAGACTCTGACCCACTGGGTGCCGAAACCGTAGAGTCCATAGAAGCACTCGCCGAACTTGTCGAACCCGCAGTCCCCGTTGGAGCCGATGAGGAAGTTGCCGTAGAGGTAGCCAGTGGGGCTGTCCCGTCATCCCGCTTGTTGTCGCCACCCTTCACATTCTTAACCTTGGGCTGCGGAGCACCACGGTTAGGATCATCGCGTCGCTGGCCTTCTCCACCACCAACCTTCACCGGGCAGTTCTTTCGCATGTGGCCTTTGCCTCCGCAAGCTTTGCACCGCTCCGCTCTCTCCTCCTTGGGTACATTGGCCCAGTCGTGGCTGAACTTGCAGTTTGCACGCTGGCACCCATTGTCCATCAAGAAAAACTTACAAGGTCTTGACGTCGCTGTAGTGGAGGGAGAGCCAGTCCCCTTCGGCGAAGCCCCACCTTGCCCTTCTTGCGCAGCTGCCCCCATAGCCTTCATAGACGGTGTGGTGGTAGATGTCGTCCTTGTCCTCCCTCGGTAGGCTATCTGCTCAAACTCGGCCAAAAGGTGTGATTGAAGCTTGACCACTGATATCAAAGAGGGCGCTGAGTCCAGTTCCAAGCTGTACCTTAACATGTTTGCCCGGAACGCAACCTCGCCGTGCTTCTCCAACTGAGTCCTTGACGCCGCATCCAAACCCCTCAAGAGGATAGAGGGATCTGGCACTTGTAGTGCCAAGTCCTGAGCTCTTTTCAACCACCTCGCCCATCGCCTCAAGACTTCTACCAGTTCCATAGGTGAGCTTGCCGTAGTAGGAGACTCCAAGGCCTTCAACACTTGCTGGCGTTCCACAGCTGACCCTGGGCGGTAAATGGTAAGGATCCGCGCCAAGATACTCAGGGTCGTTTGTAGCCTATTGGCCAAAACCTCCGTCTTGATGCTGTCGGGAATCGCCTGCAGCAACATCGTAGCCGCCCGCTTGTCCACTCTTAACCACTTTGCCTCCTTGAGCATGTCCTGGGCGTAGTCATCGGCCTTAAGCTGTAGCTTCTTCACCGCCGACGCATGGATGTAATCCTTGTAGAAGGCTTCTAAGGAGGCTAGAACTTGCGACCACCATTGCGCGCTGCCATCAGTGAGATCACCCATGGGCCCGCTGAGTCCATGAAGCCAATCCCCAACGTTGATCGCCGCCATCTCCCCCTCACTCAGCTTCGGAAGTTCCGAGGCTGTGGTGCCTGGTCTGATTTGCTCGGGTCTTGCCGAGTTCATTCCCAGTTGCATAGCCATTGCCGCCTGCAGCTGAGTCATCCCTTGAACCAACGCCTCAAGAGACCCACCATTGGCTCCTGTAGCTTGTCCAGGTCCAGACCGTCGTTCTCCGGCACTCGCTCCAGGATCACCTGGTTGATCTCCACCCAAACCTGGAGGGGGACCACTGTAGATGCCCGGCGCATTCTCAAAAGGACCACTGTAGATGCCCGGCATATTCTTAAATAAATGACCCCCTTGCTCACGAACATGTCCCGGAAGTCCTGGAAGATTACCTCCGAAAACGCCATCTCTTTTAGGCTGCTGTTGCCCTTGCTCTCCCACCAAGCACGCACCACCACTTCCAGAAGGAAGCCCGCGTCGCCCAGCAGAAGGATCACCCTCAGAGCCGCCGTAACGTCCTTGAAATCCCAGAAAGTTCGACCTCTGAGGGCTCTGACTCCTTGCCTTCATAGGACCCCCTTGCTCACGAACGTGTCCTGGAAGTCCTGAAAGATTACCTCCGAGCCCTCCACGATTGCCTGAAGCTTCGCCGCTCCCACAACCATCATGCCTCGGTGGTCCTTCAGGATTGCCGCCTGGTACACGTGAAGCTAAAGGTAGTTCCCGCATATCACCGTGAGGTAGCAGACCTGGGTCAGGTAGTCCAGAAGTATTGCCCCGTAAAACTCCATGCAAGCCCAAAGCCCGATCACCACTTCGCTCGCTATCATGTTCACGAAGTACTCCTGGATTGCCACCTAGATCCTCACTGCTGCCCCGCATAGCACTCAACACCCCCGGCTCACGAACATGTCCGGGAAGTCCTGCAAGATTACCTTCGAAAAGCCTCCTTATCTGTTCAGCTTGTTCATGAACATGTCGCTCCCGAGAGGGTTCTCTCACAGGCTGAGGCATCGTAGGAACGTACTCTTCTCGCACATCCGCGGTCCTCGCCGCTTCACTGCGTAGCCGCTCCACCTCCATTCTCAACCTCTGGTTTTCTTCATTGATCTCCTTCTGTTGCTCCATGGCCTGGTCGACTTGCTTCTTCACCTCCAGCTCCAATTAACAAGCATTGGTTGGATCTGAGGCCCTAGCTTTTGCATCTGAGGCTCTGGATTTTGGCTCAACTCAGACATATAGAGACCGCTTGGCTCGAATGAAATACAGAGTTCTAGCTCCCGATACTTTGGCTCATTTCTGGATTTTGGCTCAACTCAGACATATAGAGACCGTTTGGCTCGAATGAAACACAGAGTTCTAGCTCCCGATACTTTGGATCAATTCGCTTGGCTCGGACGAAATACAAAAAAAAACAAATAGTGATTCTCATGCGGGCTCTGGTCTAAAAACCGAAGTGCGAAAACCCCTACCCGAATGTAAATAAACATCACGCCGTTGCTATTGCTTGAAGTGTGTGAGTGTGTGCAATGGTTGTGCGGGTGTGACTTGTCAAAACAGTGTGCTTTACGCCTGTTTTGCAACTCCGGCCGTCCTTCGCAGCCCCAAAGCTTCAAAGAGAGCCCGAATGTGCAGCTATATTTCGAGATATTCTGCGGCAGTGACATCGACTACTTTTTCTGCAGAGGCTGATCGGTGTGTTAATTAATTATGAAGGGAGGGTTTAAGTCTTAGTTAAGTCTGTGATGACGATATGATGCGGCGGCTTGTCGCTGCAGCTGCCATATACTGCGTCTTGGCGATGGATTTGTCAGCTGCCGTCCGAGCGGCCTGTGCGAAGGCTCCGGTCAAGGATGATCGAAGTTCTCAGTTCAGCAGGCAGGTTCGGGAAGCTGTTGGAGATCCAGCTCTTCATGCTGAAGGGGGGGCTTCTGGCAGCGGTCTTCAACAACCCTCCGGATTTTCGTTTCAGAAAGTGAAGCGGGCAGCACTTCGGACACTTGGTTCCAATCGAAGGGATGTAGGTTGAGTTCGATATGGATGTTGGGCAACATAATCACTCCATATGCTGAGGAGTGCCCAAAGCAATGCCAAACAAGCTGCTCCAGTACGAAAACGCCGGCACTACAACAACAAGAAGAGGGCTGCCCTTGCAAAGAGCCGGCCCAAGTAGCTGAATCGCATTAGGAGTTTGGGTTGTTGTTGAAGCCTTATGATGCAAAGCTGCCACTTGAAATAAGGCCTGCTATACGTGATGATCACTCCGATCAACTCGATGCCCTGCTGAAGAGGAGGCTTTGCAAGTGCACCCGGCAGTCATGCTTCCGGAATATCCGAGCTCAATATGACTTGCTGCTTGAATTTCGGCAAAGCTTGTACTCTATGGGGAAAGTGGAACAAGATGCCTTTGATCCTCGCTTGATATTGAGCGACTTTACAACTAGTCGCTCCTGGGACCCTGTGCAGCATAACCCGACTCTGATTTCAATCCCACAAGAGCCCTAGCCTGCCTCACAGCCCAGGTTCAAGACACTCTGGTGTCCGGCACGGAAACCTCGCGCAGGACATATCAGCTGTTGGGAGTGACGGTGGGCCGTTCTTGCTTGTGTTCGCTCCTAGGGATCGGGAAGAACCGTTTGTGCAAGCTTGCCAATGGAATGGTGGACTCTAGATTCAAGTGCAATGCCCCGTTGCACCGAGCAGCACCCATGCAAAGATCAGTCGACAAGTTCTTGCTCCGTCAACACTCATTGATTGCTGAAGTTCTTCCAACAGGGTCTTGGCCTCATTCCCTTTGGACTTCCAGGGTTGGTTCTAGGTCCGAAGTGCTCAATCACCCCGCACTCAGGTTTTTGCTGGCGAACAAATCTCGTGGTGAGTGCAAGATCAGCAAGGCCCTTGACCAAGATCATGACACAGAGCCAGATGATCTGGCCGTTCCTGGAGAAACCATAGATGCAGATGAAGATCTTCGTTTAGAGATTAATTTGGACAAAGAGCTCTGGAACAGGTTACGTGTCTGAGAAATAGAGTGAATAAGCCCAAATGCCTAAAGCCCCGAACGGAAAGCTCGCAAGGTACGTGCTCACATCGCAGGCCTTCAACATCCAGGAGCTCCCGAGGCGGTACTTGCCGCCTGGAACAGTCATGGATATTTTCAGACAATATTTGGCAGAGGCTCCCGAAGAGAAGCTGGCTTCGTTCTTTGTCAGAAATTACAGTACTGCTTCCGATACGTAAAATCTAAACTACAGATACATCTGTGCTGTTGTAGGAATGGGAAGTAAGGTACACGGTTTTCAAAGACACCTACCAAAAAAGATGGGCACAGTGCCTGCCTTTTCGCTCCCAATCGGACTTTGCAGAGTGCACCGAGTGCTTTATGTTGAAGCAAGCAATCAAAGATGAGAAGGCAGATTTCGTTCCAGAAAACTATATGAAAGTATTTCTCCAACCAAAACCGAGCGCTTATCCAACCCCCAGGACATCTGCAAAAAGTTCGGGCTCGTGCGGGACTACAAAGAGCACCTTCGTGCTGTGAGCTTGGACCGGGAGCTCGAACAGCATTTTCAGGGCTTGAACCCGTTGAACAGTGACCGCCCTCTGATGTTTCTTCAGATTGACGGGATGGACCAATCCAAGTGGTCACTTCCCCGCTATCCAGGGAACCGGGCTTCCAAAGAACTCTCGAAGTATATCCGCCCCAGAGTGAAACTGGTCGGTTGCTGGATTTCTGGATACTTGCTGGCTCTCTATGTCGTAGATGCCAATTTTGCACACGACTCATCACTGACGGTGGAGGTGTCTGAACACATATTTAGTATTCGTTTCTAGAAACCAATAAGTACACACGTCTCTAGAGAAACTGTTCTCTCGAGAAACTGTTCTTAGGTCTGTTGCCCTTTCCGAGGTGATAGCCCGGTGCATCGAGGACACCATGGAGATGTGTGACGCCAGATCACTACCACGTCCAGCCGAACTAGTGGTTTGGGCCCCTCCCTGTTCAATCAAGCCAGCCTTGGTTTCTGGAAATGGGTTTGAGATACGCTTTTGTTGCATGATACAGCTACTCAGTGTTGTTTGGTAACTTCCATCCAGGCAGACAATACAGTGAGGGAGAACAAGAACCAGGTCATGATTGCATACCTATCGTGGCTGGTAGCTACTAAAGCCCTCAAGCTGGCTTCGCTACAGAGCAGCCGTGTTGGACACACACACAACCGGCTGGATGCTGTGTTCGGCATGCTGAGCAGGGCCTTTCGGTTTGAAGATACACTCTCAGATCTTGAGGATATCCAGCAGAGACTTGACCGATCTTCAGCAAATTTAAATCGAAATTCGAGTCAGGATTTGGCTAATTTCTGAGCCAAATATATGTAATCTCACTATTGTACTGAGAAGAACTCAGAACTATCGAACAAACTCTAGAACTCCGTAAACCCTAAACCCTACACCTAACACTAGCCTAACACTTTAAGGCCTTACCCGAAATCCCTGTGCCCGCTCAGGAAAATCGAGTCCTTGCTTCATCGGCTGAACATCAGGGACTGGGTGGGTCGCACTGCCATGCTAAAGGTCTGCATCTTGAACAATGTCCGGGACTGGGGATTGTGGCCCCGTGGTTCCGTCATTAGTAGTGGTGGTGGTTGGTAGTACCAGCAGTAGGAGCAGCAGTAGGAGTAGTTAGTAGTCCCAGCAGTAGTGGTGGTCGTAGTAGAAGTAGTAGACTAGTAACTACTAGGTAGCAGTAGCTCAGGTTGACCCAACTACGGATCCATCCACATGGTGGGCTCCTCGATACTTCCGATGGTGTTCATAGCTTTACGATGCTTCGAAGGCATGGCTTCTTGCCTGCATTTTCAGTATTTTAAATACAAGGCACAAGCCCTACAACCCGAGCTACGCGCAACTAAGATGTGCCTGAGACTCACCGCGACCGCATCGTCGTGGAGGGCCGTGGAGCCAGAAACCTTGTCGCTTCAGATTACGATGTCATCTGCATGTGCAAAAGATTCGTCAGTGATGAGAAGCCGAGCCAAAAACCCGTGCTCGTGCTTCCATATGCCTTCCTGCAGCGACTACCCGGAAACCTGCCGAGCACCACTAGGCCCCTGAACCCTCTGTCTGTGGATCGTCGCAAGAACTGGGCTGACTTGTGCAAAGCATTGCTTTCGGGTGCAGGCAGAGATGCCAAGCTCGTTAAGCGAAGTGCTCGGTATTTGCTTGCTGCAGCCAAGGGCCTTTCCACAGCTCAAGGTGGGCCAAGCCCATTCAGCTGGCATTCGGAAAGCCATGAGAACCGCGTTGTGCAGCTGCAAGATGCACCTGCCACATCATTTCTGATCTTGTACCCCGTGGCAAGGTTCAAGACGACCCTGAAGAGGTAGCAAGACCTGTCGATGCAACTTTACAGACTCATTTGCTACGTAGTCAATGTTCTTGTCATCTTCGAAGTCGAAAGACCTCTTTGCGAAGGCTACGGATGATTGAGTGATTCACACGGCACTGAATTCAAAAATGCAAACTGGGGGCTTGATGCGCTGGCTTGCATACACGCTCATTTTCATGTCTTCGAGGTTTAAGTTCGCTGAACCGCATCGCATGATTGCTCAGGCCTCTGTTTTTTTGTTGACCTCGGGTCATAAATTGTTGAAGCCATGGATTCGGAGGAGGAAAAACTTATGTGTGATGCTTCGGATGTGGACTCTGAAGAGGAACGACTGGGCATCGGTGCACCTAGGCCTCTTCCCAAGTTTCTTTCAGCTGATCGAAATGCATGGGGCATCCTACTTCCTTGTTCGATCTATAATAATCTATAATCTAGTAAATCGCTGGCCAGGTTCCGCCCCGCCATATCAAAGCGAACTTTTACTTTGAAGGATGCTGTGCAGGCTCAGGTGTGTCGCCAGGCCAGCAAGCATGCCATGTAACAATTTGCTGATAGTGCATTCAGATTATTATTTTGGAGAGTCTGTGTGCAGGGCAACAGAAAGTTTCTGGAGCCGAAGCAGCAGGAGCAGAAGGCTTCAGGCATACGGCCTGTCTACGGGACCCGACTACCTGCTTCCACTGCCCCGGGCGGGCCCGAGACCATCGATGCAACATTTACCTGGCCTCTCAGGCTTCGTCCATCTTTTTGAAAAGCCCTGCAGCCCTAAGCCCGAAACCCTAAACATCACCAAAGAATTGAATGCAGGTTTGTGCATAAAGCCATGCAGAAGTGGACCCCTTCCTTTGTGTGTGCCCGGCTGCAAAACTTGTCCTGGTATTTGACTACGACATTTAGTGGTGTTGGGTGCTTTGAGCTCGCAGCACAGTCGGCTGCTTGTCCAACAGCATGAGAGTCGGCACAGACCCAAGTAAGAAGTCTTCACATCTCGTCATCTCCCCTTCTCAGCCAAGGTTCGAAGTGCAGCTGCCGATGTCGTGAAGAAGCATGGCTGCACCGGGCAGCCACTGATCCAGCTCGGTCCTGCCACTGACATCTGCAAGAACGCACAAGCCCTGCTGCACAAGACATGGCCCTCTCGCTGTGTGTTCGATCCTGAGATATTCATGTAATGCTCGTGCCAATCACTACTTCATGCAATGTCCTGGACTTACCTCCTGTCCTTAAGGTTCGGAGATATATTGCTTTGGCGGGGTCCCAACCAGTCCTTGGCCTCTGCTGCATTCTGCACCACGCATAAGCGAATGTGCCCCTTGCCATCCGGCGACCGACACACTTGCCAGCTCCGGGTCGAGGGCGCAGGGGCTTCCTGCACACCTTTTTCGCAAAGTGGCAAGCGACTACAGGCCTGCCCGGTTTTCGTTTTTGGCTCATATCTTAACACGACTTGTGGCAGACCGAAGATCAAGCCTTCAAGACCCACGTGGTCTGGTACGACATGCGGTTGAAGAACCAGGAGGCCACATGCACAGAGTCAAAAGGAGAGAGAGACAGAGAGACGGCCACGCACACACGTTCGTACATACATACTACTACATAATATAGAGCACATACATACATACATACATACACACATACATACATACATACGGACTACATACCAATACATATGTACATGCATGCATCAATACACATACATGAGGGGGTATGATTGATGAGTTCAAGACCAAGCTACTTCAGTTCAGGATGTCATCATCTTCGAGAACACGCCGCAGTACCAACTGCCCATCCTCGAAGAGAAGTTTGGCCACATGTCACAATATCGTCTTTGAAACCTGGAAGATTTCATGGCCTGTCCCAAGGTCAATACTATGACATACGATCGGCGAGGTTTTGCTCTCGCCACTTGGGCTTCTCTGCAGCAAGGGCCCGGCTTTGGGTTGTCATGACAAGAAAGGGCAGGGCAAGATGGATCACGCACGAGTCCCTGGAGAGCTTGATCAAGGTTCTGTTTGCTGCTCCACAAATGGAAGCCACTTGACTACAATGCTAACCTCGGAAGTTGCATCTAAACCTAGTTTATCATGTTGAAACTCGGGGCTCTCAGGCAGTGGACTACTTCTACCTGGACAAGCCGCCGACGGTCCTCAATGCAGCCCAGACAAGGACGAAGCGAACGTATGACCAAGCCTTTGCAGGCTCCAAGAAGGCAACGTGCTGTGGGCCCTAGGTTTCTGTTTTGCTTAACAATAAATCATTACTGCAGTCGCACTATTTGAAAAAAATCTTTGGCAGGTCTACGACCTCGCACAGCAGAGTCAGAAGTTCTTACGCACCGAGCTGCACGACAATTCTCTCATGACTTTGAAGCGCAACTGTGGAAACTTGTTCTCAACGGTCCACAACCGCGTCATTGACAAGGAAGAGCTTTTCACTGCAATGGCAATTCCTACGACGAAGCAATTCGAAGCCTGTCTGAAGCCACTAGAATTCCACCCTGCTTTGAACATGCAACTGTAAGCCCCTCATCCCAGGCAGAGACAGCTGGATCTTCGAGTGTGGACTTGAGTCCCCTGCCCACGGCATCGGTGGCCAGCTGCCTGGCAGGAAACGGCATGCATGTAGCACAAGCGGGGGCGATTATTCTGATTTGTGCCCTGTTCATTGAAGCCGTTCCGAGACATGCCTAGAATAATCCTAGAAAGGGCGGCCAGATCAACCAAGAACTTGGTTCTGCCAATGTAGTAAGAACACAAACCTGTTCGTAAAGCAGCAGTCACTTGTGGTTCTTGGGTCGGGCCCAACCGCAATGCTCGTACCTATGGTTGGACATAGAACAATAAAACAACCCCCTGAACCCTAAACTTTAAACCCTAAACCTTAAGCGCCCGAAGTTGAAGAGATCGACCAGCTGCCCTTTCAGAAACTGTGCCCTCAAAAGTCGGCCAATGCACTGTGAAAGCTGAGCTCTGACATCAGACGAACAGCTCGCGAGTCTGATTGGAGCAGCAAAAGAAACAGAGTGACAACACTTTCTCTCTCTGTCTCTCTGGCTGACTCACTGTCACTCTCACGTCTCTTATTCTCCCGCTCTCTCTCTCTCTCTCTCTCTCTCTCTCTCTCTCTCTCTCTCTCTGTCTCTCTCTCTCTCTCTCTCTCTCCCTCTCTCTCTCTCTCTCTCTCTCTCTCTCTCTCTCTCTCTCTCTCTCTCCCTCTCTCTCTCGGTCTGGCTTGCTCGCAGTTCATTAGCGGCGGCACAGCAGTTGCACAGCTGAGCTTGAGGAAGCGTTTTTTTCAGGGCTTCAGGGACAGACCCTGCCTGTGATCGATGGGAAAACGGGCTTCTCGTGCTGCCGGCCCTGCCGGCAAGAAGGCCAAAGGGGATGGAGAGAATTGGGTCAACCGAGTCGTCAAAGCTCTGGAGAGCCTTTTCTTAATTACAGAAAGTGCTTCTGGTACTCTACTTAAAATATGTGCCTTCCAAGACCCCAGCTAAGGGACTGCAACGTCGAAGCTGACCAGCACCCATGTACTTTGGTGGAGCAGTTTTTCGGGCCAAGGGCTGATGGGTCAATCATCACAGTGGCGAACCATTGGCTTGCCGGCAATGGAGGGACTGAGGCAAACCTTGATTAGGGAAGGGGTTCCGGGCCGAGCAACATTCGCAGGCTTTTGGTTACACTGCCACGTACAGGGCTTAAAAAAGAGTTCCCGCGACGTTACCCCTATAAACCGCTGGCACGATTCCGAACCGTACTAATTGCTTCTAATTACAGCTACCAATTCAATCATAACCATCAGAATGTAGCACATCACCGCCCCCGCAAAACTAGGCATTGACTTTGGGTAAATTGCTTGACGATAACTGGTACTCGCTATATACTGCAAGCTGCTGCCACTGTTGGTATGCATGCTGCTGATTATTGCTGTTACTAACTAATTCAAATACTTTTTACTCCTCCATAGTAGAAATAGTAGTTGCAGTTGTTGTGGCAGTAGCAGAAGCAGTAGCAGTAGCAGTAGCAGCAGGAGTAGTAGCTGTAGTAGCAGTAGTTAGTAGTAGCTGTATCATCATTCAGTTCGTAGTAGTACGGAACAGCAGCAGCAGCAGTCGCAGACACCAATGCAGTAGCAGTAGTAGCAACAAGGTTTGTCATAACAATGTAAGATCGGGCAGGTTCTGGTGGACCAGGGCCACTTCCCAGCAGAGGGAGTGTCCGACTTGGTGCCCTTCTTTTCACTCTACTTGCCAATCCCCGTCGACAAAGCCCCTCCACTTATCACATGGAGCAAGTTCAGTGTGCCAATCTGGACGAATTGGGAGAACGAACGTGAGCCTGTTGAGATCCGACCCACCACCCAGAAGCCGCTTGTTCCGGGAGACAGGTTGGAGCCCTTCTCTGTGGCTGTTTGTCGAGGCTACACACGTTGTAGCATCATTGCATATGCAATATGCCACATGCTGATGGTCGAAGATCAAGCTTCTTTCAGTCAGAAGGAGAAGGAGGATTTCACGAGGCGGGCCCTTTGACACTTAGTTGGTAGTTGGTTGATAGTTCCGGCTCGACTACTTATGCTTATTTGTTGGATAAGGAATCGAAACATACCTAAAAATAGCGATAAATCACCATTGTTCGGATGTTGTACTGACCCATGACTGAGCAGTAATATGATGCTCCTTTGGCATTCGATCCTCGCAACTAGCCAATGTCAAGGCTTAAGCGATCCTACATGCCTTTAGTGCAAGTAATCATTGTGTTAAAACATCCATTCCACGAGCAGCTAGCTATCTCCACGACTATCATAATCTTCATCACATCAACTTAGATCGTAACATCATTCCGAGATGCAATCTGCAGCCCATGATGGCCAAAGTTCTCGGAATAGAAGCCTGAGAGCATGTTCCAAGCCGATAGTATACCTATCTTACACTGCAAGTTCTTCGTCATTATGCTGCAATTATGCTAACTATTATTTGTACTGTCCTCGTTATTGGTGTTTTTTGGTTGTTGCTGCTGCTGTTGCTTGTTGTAGAAGTAGCCAGGAGTCGTCGTAGTAGTAGTACTAATAGATTGTTGTAGTTCTACTAATAGTCGTTGTTGTTATTGTTGTTGTGGTTGTTGCTTTTGATGTTGCTGCTGCTGTACTGTCTATAACAGGTTAATGGCCATAATGTATGATGTCATGTCCGCATTGAAGAAAATTAAAGTTAGCCTGTGTGTTCGTACAATGTCATGTTGGCTTGATGACTTCGTTTTGAAGTATCATGGTTGGCTGTAACTGTTTAGTGGTTGTTAGTCTTCGTTGTGAGCTTGTAGCCTGTATTCCAATCAAACCCAGTTGATTCCGGGTCCTTTTGGCAAGGGTCGTTCATCGACTTGGTTTGGGCGAAAGTACGTCGATTCTCCTATTGTTCCGGGCAGAGCCAATTGATTAAGGTTATCGCGGGGATTGGTCCGCAGCGATTGGATCATCGATTGGGTCGTCTGAAACACATTAGTCAATATCTGTGATTTGGCCAAAAGTACGTCGATGACCGGACTTTTTGGGGCACCTTGTTCATCGATGTGGTTTGATTGGACCTGAGACTGGGCACCGAGCTCCGGACCACTAGGTAATCGACTTGGTTTTGGCGAAAGTACGTCCATTGCCAGGGGTCTGGCAATCCGCGCTAGCCCAAACCACGTCGACTCCCAATCCGCGCTAGCCCAAACCACGTCGACCCCCAATCAGCGCAATCCCAAACCACGTCGACTCCCCAATTCGCGCAGGCAGGCCAGCCTGGGCCCAGGGCTGGCCCCAAACCAGCCCCCGTGCCAGGCCCCAAATCGTGGGGGTAGGTTTTTCCCTTGGTGCTTTGGACTTATAAGTCCACTTATGGTTCAAAACCGTGAACCCTGAACCCTTGGCCTTTGAACCCTAAACTCTAACCCCCCAAACCCTAAACCAGAAAAACCCTAAACACCAGCAGGTGGCTCGAGAGTGTCATGAACCTCAAGGTCATCTACACCCAGCGGCAGCTGCATGAGTACTCCTACCGGAACATGCAACTCAGCCAACAGGCTGCAGAGCGCCAAAAGAAGAACATCCTGCAGATGGCCTTGAGATTTCACCAGCGAGCCTCTGAAATTATGTCCGATACAGAGCTGCAATAATGCCCGAAGCTCAAACCCAAGCCTAACATTAATCGCTGAGCCCAGCCACGCCCAGGACCATCCCGAGCTGTACAAGGAGAAAGCCGAGGCAATGGACGTTGCCTTTAGGGAGTACAACCAGTTTGGGCTTGCCGAGTCATCCGAGAACTACAAGCTGCCTGAGAAGGACTGCACTGCTATGAAAGTAACTTTGCTTATGAGGTGTTGAGACAGTGTCGTGTTGGGTTTGGGGATGTTTAGGGCTTTAGCCAGGGGTTTTTGGCGACGACGAGCTGCCCTAAACCCAAGAATCCGAAACCCCAAACCCCAGAGCCCGGCCAAAAACCCAAACCCCAGAATCCTAAAACCCTGAACCCTAAACCTTCCTTTACCTGTTGCTATTACCACTATTACTACTACTACTACTACTACTACTACTACTACTACTGCTGCTACTACTACTACTACTACTACTACTACTCCTGCTGCTGCTTCTGCTGCTGCTACTACAAAAGAAAGATGCTTCTGCTTCGTTGCTGTTACTGCTACTGCTGCTTTGTCCGCTACTACCACTGCCTTTGCCCCTGCCACTACTGCTGCTACTGCCACTCCTCCTCCTACAGTATTATTTTGGAGACATCATATACTACGATATAGACTATAGTACTATTGCGACGACTCTGAAGGTGGCACAAGGTTAAGGGACGCAGATGGGTCATCGGTTTTCGCAGTCACAACTAACCACCACTACTATACTACTACTACTACTACTACTACTACTACTACTACTACTACTACCACTACTGCCACTACTGCCACTTCTACTACTGACACTACGACTACCAACTACTGCTGCTGCTGCTGCTGCTGTTACGACGATTTGTATTTTTGTGATTCCGAGAGATTCTTTGTTCGGGTTAATCCATCAAGGTTCTCATCGACAGTGTCGGAGAAGAGGTACGCACACTCATGTCGAGACACCTCCAGACCCACATTTGGAGTGAGTGTGCTTACACTTTGGAGAATGTCAAGAACGGCAGGTGGCACCTTGGCAGCACCGGCAAGTACTCGCAAGCCGACGGCATTTGGAAGGACATCATGGCTGTCACCCGTCCGAAGCAAACCTTTTTCATTCAGCGGCTCCACTTCGCCTTTCAAATCAAGAGGAAGCAGGTCCGGACGGCGACACACGCTAGGATGTCGCCCGAGGGCTGGGAGCAACTGGTGGACTCCAGTTGCCTGTTGATGTGGGCATTGGAGGCCATGGCCAAGGCCAGAACGGACGACGGTGCAGATGTGCTGTTCACGGGTGACACGGTGAGGGCCGCTACGCAGAAGGTGTTGGAAGGGTGTTTCGTACGCACTTAGTTAGTCTCGTGATATCATCCAGAAAAAGGTTCTTGGTCTTTGGGCAATCATCAAATTCAATTCTCAGGGACTACAATGCGGAGGCTGACAAGTTCTGCCTGCTCAAGCTGCCTGACATCAAGCCTTCGGACCTCAACCTTTGGACAGATCACCTTGGCAGCGCCACAGCTGCAAGTCTGATCCAAAAG